GTTTCACCGAGGGCTGCTCGGCGAACACCAGGGGCTCCTGGAGACACAGACAGACCAAGGGTGAAGTCAGAAGCGTCCCAAACGCAGGCCCCGTCCCACACGGCGGCGAGCGGGGGGGGGAAGCCGCTGGAAGAGCTTGGAGGCCACGTCTACGCCGTACAATTAAGTCGACTAAGTCAGAGTCCGTACACCCAGCGGCGATTCCATCACCGTGGGCGCCTCCCTCGGCGTGGGGCACTGCGAGGGGACCCCCGAACGCTGGATCTAAGTACAGGCTGCACCTCCCAAAATCCTGCACTCTCCGCTCTGGGTTGCTCCTGGACCGGAGAGCCTGGGAGCCTGATGGCAGGAGAGCCAGCAACCTGGCCAGAGAGCCCCACAGCAGCGCTGGGGCTGCAGAACTCCAGCAGCCGGTGGCCGGGCGGTGCCGGGAACCTTGGCCGCCCACCGCTGTGTGGAGCCGGGGGCCAGAGAAGCCCGGCACCATGTGGCAGCGCGGGGCTGGGGGGTTGGAGAACCCCGGGCACCCAGAGCTGGGGGCAGTGGCAGCATGACAGCCCGGTTGCAGAGAGGGCTGGCTCGTTTGGGGCCGGTGGCCAGGGACACCACCCCTGGTCCGGCCCGTTCTCTGGTTCGGGACGGGCGAGGTCCCGACGGCACCAGACCAGGGAGGTCCGACCTGTAACAGCGTGTGCCGCTCGGCGAGGTGGGGGCGTGACGCCGGCACAGTGGGGCGACTGGTAAAGGCGAGTCACATGCACATTTGCCCGGCCCTCGAACCAGCCCCGGCCTGGGGAATGGTCAAATCCAGCTGCCGATTTGTGTCGCTGGCACATCTCTTGCTAACGCTGCTAAGAGTAAGGCCCCCATCCCGGCTTGAGCTCCACACGGGCCGATCCCAGGTGGAGCTGCAGTGAAATCAACGGGACTCCAGGCAGAGCTAACGGCAGGACCGGGACCTAGGACAGCAACGGCCACTGCCACCCGCAGCTGGAATGGTAACACAGCCCCTTCCGCGCTGTCGCCCCTTCTCGACTCCCCAAGCGCTTCACAGATGTTAGCCAACGAAACCCGGAAGCTGGGATTATCATCATCCCCATTTTACAGACGGTGTCACAAAGGCACGGGGGAGATGAGGTGACTTGCTCGAGGCAATGGAGTAAGTTGGTGGCGGAGCTGGGATTGGCACCCAGCCAGACAATGTTCCCTCCAGCCAACGGTTCTGCCATGGGACGGACGGACGGACGCACGCACGCACGCGCACACACACACACACACACAGAGCAGGTGGCGCCCAGTTTTCACAGTGGCTTCTAAGGACGACATCAAAATACCTACTGGTTCCTCCTCTTCCTCGTGGAGCGAGAACGTGGAGCGCAAGGACATGCTGGACTCGGAGTGCAGCGAGCGCACGGAGATGGCGGAGTCGGAGCGGCGCGGGGTGCTGATCGGAGGCTTCCACATTGGAGACACAGAACAACGCCGTTATTACATGTAACCCCTCCGCCCCCTGGCTGCTTCCAGCTCCCATCCTCCCCCATGCAACTCGGTGCCGGGGCACGCAGCCTCTTGCAGGCCAGGAGCAGAACGTATCTCATCGCCAGCAGTCTGGGCCACCTAGCCCCTCCCCCCGCAGGTTGGGGTCAGTCCCCAGGCAGGTCTAATGTACGGCACCCACTTACCGTTCCCAGCATGCATCGGCGAGGCTCACCCTTTGCAGCGAGCTCAGCCAATCTGCCCCGGCCCCAGCTCCCAGGCGCTGCCGGTTTCTACAATCTCGGCACTCGCACTCGTTTCCCTGCTATCTCACTTCTGCCAAGTTGCTTTGCGTAAGTGTGGAGACTTCCTCCAATTCAATTCCAGGACGGCCTGGCTTTGCTGCTTCCTGTTTGGGAGGGGGGAGCGAACGGGGCTTTGCATGCTCCAATCCAGGAGGCCGGGCTGGCCGCAGGGCTCTCTGCGATTGGCTTTGCAGGGGATGCTGCCCTGGAATATTAACCCCACCATGGCGCTGAGGTTCGCAAGTCAGCATTAAAGCAACAATGGAGAAAAAGCTTGAGTCCAGCCGGGGGCGGGGAACGAACAGCCTGTAACACATCCACTGCTCTGACACCGACCCACGGGAACGCGTCCAGAGAGGAGCAACACAAGCCTGTGGAGAGCAGGAGGGACGGGCCGATGGAGAAAAGACGGAGCGTGTTGTACATGCGCCCCAGGGGAATCCACCTAGGCGAGCGGGTGGGTGCACCGCGCATTGGAAGCCCGGCAAGGCCGTCTCTAGCGCTCCTTCAGGAGTCGGTCCCGGATCGGATTCTGCCCAGCCTTTCCATGCATGACTTGGATAACGGAGCACGGTCAGAAAGTCTGCACAGGACCCCAAGCGGCGCGGGGCTGCAAGCACGTTGGCTAACGGCTGCCAATTCAGAAGGACCCTAACGAACCAGAGAACTGGTTTAAAATGGACACGAGAAAACGTAATACTGCCAAGGGCAACGTACCACCTGGGAAGGACAAACCAATGGCAGGCCCACCAAACGGGGAAGAGCTGGTTAAGGAAGAACACTGCGGAAGGGGTAGGGTTGCCAGACGGTTTTAACAAAAAATACCGAACACCCTTCCCGCCCCCAAAAAAACACCAGAAGAAAAAACACTGTTAAGAAAAAAAAAAGGGGGAGACCAAAGTTGTTGAGAAAAAAAAAAGACCCAGAAACCCTGAGAGTTGTTAAACAAAAAACAACTAAAAAACCCCCCAGCGTGGCCCCTTTAAGAAATGCTTCTGAGGCTTTTTTGGCCCTAACAGGCTGCCGGTGGCCACCTGCCATCTTGCTTCCCTGCTCTGGGCCGGACAGCTCCCCTGTGGAACCCAGTAAACACCCGGGATTTTCGCCTCCTGTCTGGGAAAAAAAAAATCAGAAAATAGCAGTCATTTTAGGTGTTCGGTATTTTCTGAATTTTTTTACCGGACAGGAGGTGAAAACACCGGACGGTCCAGGTGAATACCGGACACCTGGCAAGCCTAGGAAGGGGATCCGGGGGCTCCCAGACTACACGAGGCCACGATGCAATGCAGCTGTGAGAAAGGTCCGTAGCATTCTGGGCTGCACGAGCAGGAGTGTCGTCCGTAAGTCACGAGAGGTGACGGTCCCAGCCCGCGTGGCACGGGCGAGGCCTCAGCCGGAGCCCTGTGTCCAGCTGTGGGCTCCACAACACGGAGAGAGCCCAAAAGAGAGCAAGGAAAAGGCAAACCGATTTAGAAAACCCGGCCTGCGAGGACAGGCTAAAGTAACGGGGCGTGTTTAGAGTCCTGAGAAAAGACAAGCAAGGAGGGATCCGACCAGTCTGCAGCTCCCTTAAGGGCTGTTCTAAAGAGAACTCTGATCAGTCCTTCTCCAGGTTCAGTGAAGGCAGGCCAAGAAGTAACAGGTTTAATCTGCAGCAAGGAAGACTTAGGAGAGCTCTTGGGACCCCCCTTTCTAGCTACCCCGTCATGGTAAGCTCTGGCCCAGGCTTCCAAAGGAGGCTGTGGAATCCCCATCACTGGAGGTGTCTAAACACAGGTTGGACAAACACTGGTCGGGGCGGTCTAGGCTTACCCGGTCCTGCTTCTGCCCAGGGGGCTGAGTTAGGAGACCTCTCGAGGTCCCTTCCCGCCCTCCAATGCCTACTCAGCTCAATGGCCGAGAAGCAGAGGCTGCACCAGAGGCGGATTCTGAAAGCCCCCCCACAAGTAACCCTCCCCGGGCGTTCCCACAGAAAGGTGCACGGCCCAGGCCCCAGGCCCGAAAGGAATTCAGAGGGGCCGCAAGGGGCCCACGACTGCAAAACACGGGGAGCGAGTGAAGGCGGAGCATCAGGAAACCTGCGAGCTAGCGAGCTGTCGCAGACGGTCCAACGGGCTGCCCGAGGGAAGAGCAGAGGAAACCAACAGCTTTGGGATAGTAGAAGGAAAGCGGCCAAGCCGCTCTGTCACTGCAGGAGGGGGACAGGCAGGAACCGGACCTCAGACAATGAGCAAGTAGGACCTGACTGGTCCTTTATCATCTCCAGAACTTACTGGCTCTACACGTTTCCGATCGTCGCTGCACCTGCTTAAACGCCCAAGCACAGAGCTCGTTGAAACGGAGCCGGCAAATGGATTGGCAGGGAACGATGGAAAGCCAAGAATGAATGGCCTCAAGGGGTTATATCAGGTCTACGGCCTCAGCAATGAATGGGAAGACAACACAAAGTTCTGCAGCAAAGAAAGTGACCGCAGCAGCTTTCTGTAAGACCTCAGCAGTCAGACGACTCACGCCAGAGGGGCAGTTTTGTCCACAGCACTGCTCTGCGTGCGTCTGGGTCTGTCTACACTACCGCCCTCGTTCGAACTAGGCTGGTTAATGTAGTCATACGAACTTGCAAATGAAGCCTGGGATTTGAATTTCCCGGGCTTCATTTGCATGTTGCCGGGCGCCGCCATTTTTAAATGTCCGCTAGTGCGGACTCCGTGCCCCACGGCACGGAACGAGGTGGAACGAGGTGTACAGATAGTTCAGAATAGGAAACCTATTCCGAACTATCTAGTCCGTGCCGCGTGTAGCCGCGGGCATGGAGTCCGCACTAGCGGACATTTAAAAATGGCGGCGCCCGGCAACATGCAAATGAAGCCCGGGAAATTCAAATCCCAGGCTTCATGGGAGGGAGGGCACAGGAGGGTAATTAAGTCGGGGAAATAAAGATTTCCCAGGGCCGGTAGAGGAAACCGAGGAGCTAACCGGGAACGGCTGAAGGGGAAAAGCGGACGCCAGCGAGAAGAAGCTGATGTCTGTGGAGATGACTCCGTAGAGGCAAATATCGGCCAGGCTTTTGCCTCTTCAGAAGCGGGGAGGCAGCTTGGTACCACAGCCAGGGCACCGGCCGCACAGTCAGACCGGCAGAGGACAGGGTGAATAGGAAGCCCAGCCCTTTCGGCCGGATCACGGCGGGTCTGGTTCCAGACTGTGGCTCTGTGGAGAGAGACTCCCTCTAGGGGTGCACATCGGAAAAGACTCGGGGAAGGAAGATACTTATCTAGCGGGTGCTGCTGGCGTCCTTTATAAGGGGCCTGGTCCACATGAGCAGGCCTCAACCGGGACTCCAGATCCTTAGAAGAACAGTTTCAAGGCCTTCCCCGCGCCAGCTAACAAGTGCTTTGGGTGCAGCGTCCCCCCCAGGAGCTGATGCCTGGGCAGGGGTAGGTTTGTGGGCTTACCTGTATATTGAGTGAGTACGACTCGGGCACCTCGCCTCCAAAGCTAAGGCTGCCCTTGGAGAAGTCCGGGGCTCACCTCTAACGCGGGGACAGACGGCCGGAGCCGGACAGACGCCCAGCCTAGCGGGCTGAGCCCCCCG